AGCAGATTACCAGCATTGTGGACACTTAGAAGACTGATTGATGAAAACAAAGATAAAGGTGATGCTATAGTTGACACCCACGGATCAGTAATTCAGGGCAAGCGAATTGCATGGGCATTCTCAGTAAGTTTGAACAAAGAAGACACAAACAATAGACTGCACAATTTATTGCCTGGCATATTTCGCTGTATCTCATCAGGTGCATACTTCAGTAACAATTAATTAAAATGAAGCAAATATGTTTCAGTTTCTAGGATTCAGCTATTTGCTTCATTTTAATTAATTGTTACTGAAGTATGCACCTGATGAGATACAGCGAAATATGCCAGGCAATAAATTGTGTAGTCTATTGTTTGTGTCTTCTTTGTTCAAATTTACAACGGGGAAACATTGCTTTGATTCTCAGTAAGCTCAAGGGGGGAAACCATCAAGGAGATGAATAGCACCTTTGCCTTTACAACTAGCAGCCTTACAATGGAAACTATGGCCGTAAAAGGATGGCTTGGTACTCAAGGTTTCACACATACGTGTATACTTAGTGACTCAATGAATATACTTTAAAAAAAATCCAGGCTGGTTTTATCAGACAAGAATAGATTGCATCACTAAGCACTTTGCGATGGCTGCTCTAACCTTCATCTTTGTGTCAGGTCATGCGGGTGTTTAAGGGGAGGAGCATGTAAGATGATCTTGCAGACATTGTGGTTCCTATAGCTGGTCCAGTACTGCAAGAAGTCATGTGCAGCACTTATTGTGACGATGAGCAGGCCAAACGGCATGACTCCATATCCCAGTCTAGGCTTATGGACATGCGGTGCAGCCTCGAATATTTCACTAAGGGAACAAGACGTTTCATTAATCAACACAGAACAGGCGTCATCCGTCATTTTATGCTTGTAAAGCGTAAAGCTTTTGAGGAGGAGATCGGAGCATCTATGGATCTGTCTGGAGTGCTGTGATGATAATCCTTACTAATCACTGCTCCATGTCTTTATCACTCACAATATTGTTAAACTGCTGTTTATTTATTTCCATATAACATAATAAGGGCACTTGTCGTATTTGTTTTCTCTCTATCTAAACAGGCAGGAAAACAAGTATCATAAACAAGATAAATGATGCCCTTTATGTTCACAAAGTTTAAGAATTGTGTTTCCCCTAAAAAAAGCCATGGCAATGACAATTTTTTTTTCAGTATGCTTTTAATATAAGCCCTACCCTAAAAAATAAGATCTATTTAAGATTGTCATGAACAAGAAATGCTCATTTCATCAAAGCTTTATTGCTAGACACAAGAGACTGCAGTCAGTGGTTCTACAAGAAATGGAGTAGCAAGAAAGTGGAGAATTATGATGTTCCAGAAGACGATGACTGTATTTAAATAAATGTAGAATCCTGTACATACAACAAATGTTATGTAGGTTTTCGGTATCTGAAAGGGGATAAAAAGACATCTCCCCAAAATAATATCCAGTGCATTTTTTTTAAGCTTAACTTTATATAAGACCTGGTCTTATTTTGGGGAAAACAGCAGAATACAAACATATTTGACATGTGCACAGAGCTGGTAAAACCATAATCAACTTGTGCCATGCCAAGCAGTTCAGGTGGTCATGCTCCTGTCCTGCATACTCTTGATGAGTATGATCACTCACCTGCCGTGCCACTCTGCCACCATCTCCATGGTTTCTTCTTATGTCACCTGTATCTTGAAGACCTTTAATCTGCCAGTTATCTTTGTCACAACTTTCTTTAGACATCTCAAAACCCAACTAACCGATGACGACTCTCTTTTCCAGGAAACATGACCATCACCCGGGGCACCAACATAAAGAAAACTTGGGAGAGCTCAGTCCGCTTATAACTTTCGAGTGTTGGGGACTCCGGGGGTAAAGCCTTGTTAACAGCGCGATAACAATTATTTGCGGAAGGGAAATTAAATATAATAATGTTTAGGAAAAATGTGAAATCGGTAAACAAATACTTAACAAGAGGACTTCAGGTGACTGGGAAAGGGCACCTAATAACTCCTTAACAACTCTGTGAATGTATTAACAGTGCGGGGTGGATTGCAGTGAGCTCCCCCAGCTTCCGGTGCCTAATGTCACACCAGTCTCACAGGCATGATGATGATACTGTTCTGGAAGTGCGTGGCAAGTAAAAAGAGAAATGATATGATGAGCTGTGCATGTGTGTGCAAACGTACGTGCAGTCTTATGTGGCACAGAAGAAAATAACAACAAAAACGATTCAGTGATTGCATTATGAAAAAATATGTATGTAACATAACTTGCTACATTAGGTGAAATATGACTAGCTGTATTATTTGATACAAACATCCATTTGCATGAAAACTCATTCACGCTATATTGCACAGTGTCCTCAAGATACCTGTCAGGATAAAGCCACTAGAATTTAAACGTGACACTCCTCCCCAACAAGCACGTCGTAGTAGCAGACTAATTGGGAGCTTCCTTCCAAGTCGGCATGCATCTGCCCGAGCGACAAGGAACAACCAGCTGCACACAAATAAGCCAGTACAATGGATGTACATGCAAAACTCCGGCCCTAGCACAAAATCCAATGGACAAACAACCAGGACTTTCTGCCGGAGCGCAAAGAAGAAGAAATGTGATACTCCAAACTTTCATGTAAGTGACAGCTAGCAGCAGATAGTTAGTGAGCTGGTACTAATGAACACAGCTGATATTTTGAATGAGTATGCTTAGAGAGATAGAGATGGGGTGAGTCCAAAGACAGTGGTTGGTGTCTCTGAGGTTGTCAGGGCCGACAAAGATTGGTTGCATTTTTGTGCCAGGCATGCAGAGAAATGAGGTTTGAAGGTAGGGCTACTATGAACAGCAGATGAGCCATAGACCAGGCTGATATACTGAATACTCTATGAGAAGATGTTTGCCAGAGCCAAGTGATGATTAAATCTGCAACAATGACCAGACTGCAAGAACTGCTTGTTAAAAGGGGCGTGACTAGACGAGCACTTTGCAAGAAGTCAAAGAAACCTTCTTTAATAAGAATAAGAAACCCAAAAAAGAACTTGTGTTGTCAGTCACTACAAGATTTACTGAGGACGGATTCAAGCACTTATGAACTGTTGGCTCGATATTCAATGAGGACAATCTGTTGACTAACTAGGGACACCTACCCCACGTGGGTTCAAGGGCCCCATCTGTGACATGTAGAAGTCAGTTAAAAGGATTGACTTCATTGCACCTCATTTTATCCTATATTGCCCGGTCTCTCTCCACAGATCTGCTGACTGTCTGCCTAGTGTTGCACAAAGCACACACCATGTAGTTCCGGCAATAATTCCCAGAAGACTCAAAAAAAAAAAAAAAAAAAAAAAAAAAAAAAAACGACGCAACCATGAAAAGAACCCATGACCTTCAGAGGATGAGGCAAACAGCTTGACCACTTCACTGCAAGAGTTGATGGGATAAAAATCATCACCGCAAGAGTTAATGGGATAAAAATCTTAACTCTTACACACAGCAACATTCACAGTGGATTTCTTCACAAACAACAAAATAGCTAATAGCAGATGCATTCAGAAACACATCACCCTCTCCTATTGTAAATACAAAATAAAACTAATATGAACAAAACTTATGGTAATACACTGTCAACAGTTTGAGCCAGCATCCAAAATTCACCAAGGTGCATCTTCCAGGGCGCTTCATGTTAGGGATGTTACTTTTATTCACCCCATAATAGTAGGCAACTAATAAAGTTATCTTGATAACATTGCCTATTAACATTGGCTAATTAACATACAGCAGAAGGCACTAAAATCAGTTATCTATGACTGGTAAAAACACAACAGTCGGTAAAGTCAAATTACACAACAATAGGCACTGGTGGATTTATCTACATGATTATTAACAACAGAACGGTAGGTATTATTCAAAGTATCTAAACACACAACAGTAGTCACTAATCAAATTATCTAAACACACAACAGTACATGTTAACATTATCATTCAAATGATCTACAAGACCAGTAACCATTCACGACAAAGGGTATTAAGTGTATTTCTTATGTTATCCATGCGAGTTATAACCGTACAAACAAGGGCATTAATTACACCTTTCAAGTTATCATTGACAATAGAGGGTAAAACAACATAGTTTTAAATATATAAATAAATTGAGGCTTTGACAATATATGTGTTCAGAAAATATTATTTCTTCTTCTACGTCCATCAGATAAACTGTTTTGATTGGACATGATTGCTTGTTTACAGCACAGCTATATTCCGTGTCCTCTGATCAATGTATAACAGCTTTTCTCCGCATTTTCAAAATTTTCAGTGACAGCTGATTTGTGAAGAGGAAAAAAATTATTTCAAAATAACTATAAACAATGTAAGGCACACAGGAGAAGTAAAATACTAATAACTATCTATAATGCAATTTAAAACAACGTTTTTCCAACGGGAAGTAATGCGGACCCAAAAAAAAAAAGTTTCACTGCATAATTTACTGCCTGGCAAATGTTGCTGTATCTGTCAGATGCATTACTGAAGAATTGCATCAACATATAATGATGCAAAAGAAATGAATCCACTCAGTGAACTATACAAATCACACCGTCTGTAGTTACACTGAACAGCTCTTGAGCTTCCACTGGTAAGATTTACAGTTCAAATAGGCAGGTGATTTGTATGTTTCAGGAAAAAGGATTGACATTTTGTTTTTAATTAATTGTACATTGATGTAAACTCTGCAGAAATGCACCTGACCAGATACTGCTAAATATGAGCAGCAATAAACTACCGGTGTCCGTATTATTAAAACTTAATCTTCAATTTGATTATCACATAGCACTGTTTGATAAACACACATCCGACTTTAGTCAGTAAGCTCCACCCCCCCCCCCCACTCCATGGCATGAGTGGATTTAAAAAACATATATAATTAACTTTAGGCTAGAATAAATGATCTAAAAACAACATTTGTGGTGCGACTGTGTGGTAAAGTGTCTACCACACGGTCCAAGGTGGCCGTTTTGTGGAAGTTATTGATTTCCCTGTGAGGTTGACTGGGATTTTGATGATTGCTCGGTCTGAATTGAAAAACCTAAGCTGTCGCCGGATCATTAATCTGAAATAAATGAGCAAAAATAGACTTTCTTCCACTGCAAGAGAAACACACTACAAAAGCAATATACAGCAAAACCTTGTTTAACATGAACTCACTTAAGACTAACATTTGGTTAGCTTGAAAACAATTTGCCTTCTTCGTGTTCACCAACTGTAAACTATGGCGGAAAATTCCTGGTGTTCGTCTACCTCTAGAAATTAGTACTGTTCTAGAACCTGAGTGTTGCGTGCATATCCATTTTACAGACCTGACTTATCTGTATGCAGACTGTTGGTTCCATGCATCGCAGGCAGATACACAATGACTTAGAAGGTAGGATGTATTATTTTTAATTTAAAAAAAAACAAACTAAATGAAATGGGAAGCAGATAAGCATGCACAAAACACACAAATCAACATTTCGCCAGGGCCTTTCTTGACATGAATTATGTACATTAAAAAAAACCGGCAGAGTGCTCCAAACACTAGTGCCCCCAAGGTGTGATGCGAGAAACTACAAAAAAAAATGATGTGGAATGAATAAAATGAAAGAAGGCTAGAAAAATAGTCATAAAACTAATAGTGACAGTATATTTCTATGCAACTGAATGTGTTACTGTGGCAGTAAATAAACTGTTAGTATTTTCTCTCTCACAGGAGACATTTTTGACTACTGTGGTCTGAGACGGTAAGTCTTCCTTGCAACAAGCATTCTCAGTCATGACTTAACCCAGATATGGTAAAATAAGACAAATATACTTGTGGCTATGATGTTAAAGAAAAATAAATCAATTAACCAAATTTCTTGCACATTAATAAAGATCTAGCAAACCAGCTGTTAATCAACTACTAATCTGAGAATCGATATCACAGCACAATGGGCATACCCATAGATGCTCCATCTTCCTCAGTAAATGTCTTATGATGAGAGGTTCTGGCAGATGCTCGAGACTCAGAGAAAAGGCAAGACGGACGTTTAATCAGAATGCTACTGGCACCATTGGTATCGGAACTCTTCGCTGGCTGCTGAAGATGGAGCGCTTATGAGAATGCCCCGAATGCTGTGATGTCAGTTCTTGAATTAAATCAATCAAGTTTTATGGTGTAGATGCTAACTGTTCCAGTAGCCCACTTGCTGTATATGTCCTACTTCTTTGGTTCTGTTCTGCCTTTAGGCATCATGTTGTGAAGAGGCATCGAGTGTGAGCCTTTGTATGTGATGCTGGTATTCATGCTCTTGCATCTTCCACCACTTGCCCCCGGTCAACCTCTAATCCTGCTTCCATTACATCTAAGCAACAGGGTTCCCTGTGGTGCACTGTCTGGTGCTAGCTTTGACACATGTCCAAACCATTTGATCTGTTTTCTCTTGATGTAGTTTTATATTGGTCCCATCCCAATTTCTTTTCTGATATCACCACTTCTGATCCCCTCTCTTCTAGTTGATTATTTAATAACTCTTCTTTCTGTTGTTCTGAGTTTTCTTATAATGTTTACATTTGGCTCTGGTAACACAATGCTGGTATCTTCTACTACTCGTCGCTAAGGTCCCTTCTCATAAGATCAACACTTAATTTCATATTCATGGATCTCATCTAACATCCTATCTTCCATCAGTATTCAATCATAGTCTTCCTGGTCAAAAATTAGTGTCCCTGTAGCTATCGTTTCTCCAGCCAAACAATCAGCTCATTCATCCCCTCCCACTCATGTGTGTCCCAGACAGTATATCTACATGAGTTCTTGTAATGTTGATGTCCATTTTAAACCTTCCACAATACCGACTGGGGAGTCACCCGTGGTGTAGAGCTAGATGCTCGACTGGGGAGTCACCCGTGGTGTAGAGCTAGATGCTCGCCTGGGGAGTCACCTGTGGTGTGGAGCTAGATGCTTGCCTGGGGAGTCACCCGTGGTGTAGAGCTAGATGCTTCCCTGAGGAGTCAGCCGTGGTGTAGAGCTAGATGCTTGCCTGGGGAGTCACCCGTGGTGTAGAGCTAGATGCTTCCCTGGGGAGTCAGCCGTGGTGTGGAGCTAGATGCTTCCCTTGGGAGTCAGCCGTGGTGTAGAGCTAGATGCTTCCCTGGGGAGTCAGCCGTGGTGTGGAGCTAGATGATTCCCTGGGGAGTCAGCCGTGGTGTAGAGCTAGATGCTTCCCTGGGGAGTCAGCCGTGGTGTAGAGCTAGATGCTTCCCTGGGGAGTCAGCCGTGGTGTAGAGCTAGATGCTTCCCTGGGGAGTCACCCGTGGTGTAGAGCTAGAAGCTCACCTGGGGAGTCACCCGTGGTGTAGAGCTAGATGCTCGCCTGGGGAGTCACCCGTGGTGTAGAGCTAGATGCTTCCCTGGGGAGTCACCCGTGGTGTAGAGCTAGATGCTCGCCTGCCGATGGGATGGCCATGGTCCAGGTCCTGGCGAATTATTTTAAGAAATAAAATGACTGTACGGCTCTTATTTGTCTCCCATTACTGTACGTTGATATTCTGTTCATAAATTAGGCCGTGAGGTGTAATCCCGGATACATGCCCTACAAATTCCAAGTAAACTAAGTTCTAGGGGTAACCAATGACCAAGACCAACGGCGGGCAGAAAAATGCCGTAACAAAGTCAACTGTTGAAACTGCTACAAACACGTCGTTGACAGGCAAATCAAATACATTTCTTTGAACAATTCCTCACAGATATAAATGGCGTCAATGAAATGCATACATTACAGCCACTGTATCAAACGACGGTTAGCTAATTACTTTCCTCCAATCCGGAGCAATGAACCTCAGCTCCCCGCAGACTGCGGCATCCAGTAGAATAACTTTTACCTCCAAGCCAGAGTACAGAGCCTAAGCTCCCCGCCAACTGCGGCATCAAGTAGAATACAGCTAAGCCTAGTTTCCAACCTCTGCCATTAACACATTTTTTTCAAATGTCCTCTGTGTAAAGATTTCGGTCGGCAAGTGACGTTGTGTCCTCGTCATACCTCATGTTCATTATCAGTTGCCCGTAGTGTGGATCTTCGGATTGCACACAACAATGACCTTGGCTCCCAGGGTGACCCAGCCTTGAGTGGGTGCCATGTGTAGTCCTGGGAAGTAAAGCCAACTGGCGTGATGCTGACCACATCACCCACCGAGTGCTCTGGTTTATAAAATGGCTAGCCCTATGTGCCAAATATGCTGAAGGCGTGGGAAAGGGTCCTTTATCTTTGCCTTACTTTACAGTATCGACTGAGAACTGGACACCACGAATGCTCTCCTGACTCGATTTTAGCTATCCACCCTAGTTAATTTATAATATAAATCCAGAGGTTGTAGAAGTTTGTGGAAGCCGTCATCGTTTAGTGGCTAGACACACTCTTGCGGATCCGAAGATTGTGGGTTCAGGTCTTGGCTCCCAGGTTGACCCAGCCTTAAATGGGTACCAGGTAGTCCTGGAAAGTAAAGACATCACCCACTGACTGACTATTGGTCTAGCCCTATATGCCCAGTAGGCCTGAAGGGCTGGAAAAGGAAACTTTGCTTTAATTTTTGTAGTAGTTTGCAGTAATAAACACATTATCATTACCCATCTTTCCCAAGTAGAAAGAATGAAGGAATGCTGACAACCCGCTCAGTACTGTCATCGATCATGTCGATCATTGTTACATCATTGGATTCATCATTATCTGCAATTATTGCTGCCAGGGCACCCGCTCTCTCTGCCACTTTAGTCTTCGTCAAAAATGAGCAACCACTATATAAAAAAAAAAAATTTCAACATTTGGTGTTGGTTCATAAAACAGCAAAACACTCAAGAAACAGCAACTATTTAGGAAAAAAATAGTTTCACAATATATTCTTGGGTTTAATTCCCGCGGTGAGTGGCTCTGAAAAAAAAAAAAATATCTTCGCTTTCAGACAGCGGTGGGAGAGTTGCACTGTGGAAGAGACTGGGACCTCACCAAGTGATATTCATAGAATCAGCGGTGGATACATTGCAACCAACTCCACTGTGAAGACGGCACCCTATTCTTTAAAACTTTAATCCACAATTTCTCCATGTGTTTTTTACCCCTGCCTTTATACCTTTAACCCTCTGGGCTCCAGGGAAAAGATATTCTAGTTATAATCAGGCTTTCTCAATGCTCTCCTATCCAAAACCAGCATTTTTTCTTCACCTTTCATTCAGCAGAATTTATTTAGTTCATTTAATTCAGGTAGCATTAGGTTCCTCTAGAAATGTTTTCTGATATATTTCTGTTACCTTGGTATCAGAACAGTACTGTAAAATTATATAAGCTGCTATTTTTTAAAAATATCACCAAAACACAAACTAGTGGTAAACAACAGCATCAAAATATCACCGCTGGTGTAGATTCAGATGGCAGAGGTCATGATGTAACATCTCCTGGCTGACTAAGCGTGCTGGTGGGAGTAAAATGTTCCTGTCAATATATCACCGCTGGTGTAGATTTAGATGGCAGAGGTCATGATGTAACATCTCCTGGCTGACTTAGCAGCTGGTGGGAGTAAAATGTTCCTGTCAATATATCACTGCTGGTGTAGATTCAGATGGCAGAGGTCATGATGTAACATCACCTGGCTGACTTAGCAAGCAGGTGGGAGTGAAATGTTCCTGTCATCAAGACTGAGAGCTGTCTGCTAACTTGCCTGAAAGCACAGGGCTAAAATCCACATAGGGGCAGATTTTAGAATATCTACCTTGGCTCCAAAGTCGACCTAGACTAAAATGGGTATCAGGTAATTGTCCTGGGACATAAAGGTGGCCAGCGTTTGTTGAAATCTCCCATCAAGAGCCAATTGGTCTATAAAAACATAGATCTAGCACTATGTGCCCAATGTACTAAAGGCGTGAGAAGGGGACCCTTCACTTAGTCACCATGATTATGTAGCAAGCCCTGATCACAGATTATCTGAAAGATTCCCAATCCTTCACTGGCTGAAGAGTCAAATTATTTTCATACCTAAGGTATTTTATGTGCAGTGTCCACATCTATGTCAAGTCTGTCACAACCTTATTTTTCGAGAACATTGCATTTCATTACTGTTCTTTGTAAACCATTCTATCATTGGACATATTACATTACAATATTTTACCAAATATTTGTGTGTGTGTGTGTGCAGTGTGTTAAACAGGATGTGCTCTGTCCATAATTCTTACTCCACTACTACTGCAGACTACACCAGTCTGTCAGCTCTTTCATTTCCTTTCACACCAGCATATCCTGGTGTCTACAGCCAAGAGAGCTTCTTGAGGAGGGACTTCTGATGCTGTCCACCCATTCTAGTAGAGTATGCCAGTTTGGATCTTCTTAAGCATCGGCATGTCATATGCAGAGCACTGCTCAACATAGTCCATCTCTGTCTACCCAAAAAAAAATACAATCTCAATTCTTGGCCACTTCTCTGCCGCCTGCACTGTAATACTGTTCAGGTGTATTTACCACCATCACTTTTTGTTTAACCTCTTCTTTTTGGTTTCTCTTCTCACTGATACCAGGTTGTAATCCAGTGTTGTGGTTTTCTGTATTTGTCTTGTGCTTTTCAGATGGCTTGGGTCATGGATTTGTTTATCTTTTTCAGTGTGCAGGTTTCAGATACAATATCCATCTCTTTCCTGGTCTTCCCCTTGCCTTCTTCCCGGATGTTCTGCTGTAAAAATATTATATGCAGCCTAGCTTGGCTGCAATCTCACTAGATGGCTGAACCATTTGATTATCTGTCTGTCAAGATAATTCAGAAACGGTCTTATTCCAACTTTCTCTCTAATGCTGATATTTGTAACCTTGCTCTTTGTTTTATCAGTGATGCTACTGAGACAGCATATTTCGCAGATAATTATTTTCTGTTCTAGTGCCCTATTAATTTCTTTACCTCTTCAACTTTAATAATTGTGTACAATAATCTTATGGGCAAACTTACCCACGCAACATAAGAGCTACAGCCCCACTGACATCATTATATAGTTCTTGGCATGCCTCTTCTGGATCAGTCAGGACCATATCCACCTTTTGATAGACTTTATCCTGCATAACCAAATTTAGGTAACAAATGACAAAGCTTACCTGGCAAGATAAATTTACAGAGGAATATAAAGGACCTCATAACAAAGATTTTTCTTATGGTCAACACCTATCAAAATCCTTCTGTCTCACGTACTTTCAATCAATTCTGAGACTGATGATCTTCCTTGCCATGATGTCAAACTATTCAGTATAATTTCTCTTGGTCTCCTTTGGCCTCTTTTCCTTTCCAGCTGTCCTACTGTCACGGTGCACTCCAGTTTTCTCCTGCTCATGACATGCTAATAAAGAATGTTGGTTGTCTCCTTCTGATGTGGGCAATCAGTTCTCTTCGTGAGTCCATTTTTTTTTCAAGACAGTTCCATTGCTCTTTTAATCTGTCCAGGGTATTCTTATCATTCTCAAATAAAACCACATCTCTGCCACTTCCAAATAATTTTACAACAAATTTTATTCAGTGAAAAAGTCTCTTCTTCTTTTTCTGCAGTTTTTCCCCCATTGGAGCAAAGACCCTAAACTTAGCTCACATCAAGTTGTCTTATTCTTTGCTATCGCATGCAGCTCACATTTCCTCCCCATCTTGTTACTTTCTCTCTCCAGCTCCCACTATGTGTTTTTTGTATATCTACCTTTATTTTTAAGCCCTGTAGGTTCCACTGCAAAGACATTCTAGTTATATTGTTCTCAGGTTTTGTCCATGTGTGCCCTATCCTAAACCAGTCTTTTCTTCACCTTTTGACTCACCATAATTTTCTTTCTCTCCCTAAGCTCAACATTAATGATCCCATCAAATCATTTATTTCTAGCTATTCTGCGCAGACCCAGTTAATGAATGTCTGTCGTTTATTAAGTGAACTAGTTAATCTAGCAGCAATGTTTAGCAAGTATTAACATTTATAACATTTATCTGGCAATAAATATGATAAATGTACCTGCCATACACACAAATGTACATGGTGATAAAACTTTTACCCATATTTAAAAGTGACATTCTGATAATGTGGAGATTCTCAAAGAGTGCGTGCATGCTTTCTCTCTCTCAGGAAGGCTAAATCACACACAGTAGCTGAGGTTAATTTATGAATACACAATAAACATTTTTTCAAATGATCCTTATTCATTTACTGTACCACTTATTTCTTCAGACTTATTTTCATTCATAGTTTGTGACACTGTTTCCTGTTTGTGTGTTTTGTAGAATTTTTTCCGTATATCCTCTGAAGACAAAATGTGTTAAAGCCATGTGCAAGATCAAGGCAGTGTAGGTTATTTATGACAAATCGGTGAACCGCAAGATCAAGAAATTGCAAGCGTATTTATGACAAACACATAGATGCTGGTATTTACAGCCTCGGCTATTTCACCTATCCATCTCTTGCGTGGTCTACCTCTGAGTCTGCTTCCATTATGTCCAAGTGACAGGACTCTCTGTGGTGCACTGTCTGGTGGTAGTCTTGACACATGACCAAACCATTTGATCTGTTGTCTCTTGATGAAGTTTAGTGCTGGTTCTGTCATTACTGCTTTTCTGATATCGCCATTTCTGATCCCGACCCTTCTAGTTACATTTATGATTCACTGTAAACATTTAATTTTTGTTGTTTCAATTTTTCTGTTGTTGTTAATAGCTACATTTGGCACTGGTAACACAATATTGGTAAAAATACTGTACTGTACTCTTTTGGTGTCAAATGTTTGTTCTGTAAAACTGGTGACATTTATCCAATGACCTGATTAGCTTTATTACATCTGTGATCTATCTCTGCTTCCATACTTCTATTAGATGGAATTATGCTCCCTAGATCATGACCATTCAACTGGCGGCCCGTGGGTCAAATCTGGCCCGCGGATCATTGCCAGTTGTACTGTATTAATGATCTTCCTATGTTGAGTTTCAGGCCTTTAGACTGTGACGATTCCTATTTTCACAATTTTGGCCTCTGAGTAAATTTAGGCAAATAGCCCTGCCCTAGATACTTCCTTGATCCCTAGAAACTTCTTTCTACTGTGTCTTTTGTCAAAGAAAGGTAATATGGCTCAACAGACTTAAAAAACATGGAGGTAATAACTTACAAATTTGGATCCAAAGTCTCTGGCTTGTCGTAGTTTAAAAGTATACATCAAAGACTCAGGCCAGATGATTTCAAAGTAAACCGCTTCCTCAAACACAAGATAAGATTCCAGGCCTGTTACAATATCCTCATCAGCTGATGCTAGGCACAACAATCATAAACTAGTTAGAACAACTGGAGTGCCAGCTCTATACATTTTGTTATAAATAATCAAACAGTGGTTGTCTCAATGTGAATAATGAAAAAAGCTGCCATGAAATATTACAATGCTTGTGAGTTCTAGGGTCCCACGTCCTAAGAGTTGACTAATAAAAGGTGCTTCCTTGAAAGTCAAAGTGCACATCTCTGACAGGCAAAGAACCAACAGTCTGCACATGAATAAGTCGGATCTGAAAATAGACGGGCATGCAAAATTCAAGCTCTAATACGAGGCTAAAAGTCCAGACATGGATGAACAACCAGAACTTTCTACCGGAGTTTACAGCCAGTGAAAATGTAGAAGACAAAATATTTTTAAAAAAATGATTATCTGTCTACACCAAGCAAAGCTATCATAATTGTGTAAATAACAACATAAAGCTATATATATATATATATATATATATATATTTATAGGGGGCCGCATTAGCACAGTCGATAGGAGACTCTAGGAAATGGGTACCAAATAACACTAGGGTAAATGGAGGAATGTCGCTGTAGCTACGCAGTTATGTGCGGATGGTGTCACAATTTCTTATTAGCTGTCCGTACTGGTAGCAGAGCACTTATGGTTTATAACCGTCTGCAATGACGCTGGTTCACACCTCCCGACTATAATTTTATTTATTTATATATTTAAATGTCATAGGTATGTAAATTTGGATTTCAGTCCATTGTATCCCAGACTATAATCTATTTGACTTAATCAAATGTAACACCAACAGACACTACTGACACTACTGCTATATGATAACACATGACCAGTTTGAGTCAGCAAAGTTTGCAATGCTCAACACTGATATTCGTAGAAATAGAGAAATGTCCAGGCATAAAACTATTGAAATATTTAGTTAAAGATGTTTCTATCCTCTGAATAAAGGTCCGAAATTATCGAGTCCAAAAATATACCCTAACAGGGCCTCAGTCACATGAAAATTGCGGACTTCCGGTGACTTAAATTACGGACTTCCGCCACAGCCAAGAGTATTTCTTGCGCCGCATGAAGCAGGGCTGAACGAGATGGCTTGGATTCACAAGCAGCAGCTATCGCATCTCCTGCAGCTTCCTTCATTTTATTTGCTCATGAGTCCTAGCCATATAGTTTAGCCCCATTCCACTCTTGGGGGTGGCGGTAGTCGCTGGATGTCTGCAATTTACATGTGACTAAGGCCCTGTCAGGGTATATTTTCGGCCTCAATAATTTGGGACCATTATTCGGAGGATAGCCAAAGATGTTAAGAATCACACGAATGTCTATAAATTTATATGGAGTAATTCCTGGTCACCATAGGAATAGAAAAGGGGGAGGGAGTCTAGACACACCCTCCAAACACACACAGTACACATACAAAGAGACACATGCCTTCAATAATCAATGAATACACTTTTTGGCTCTCCTCCGAACTTCTACACCCGCATTATGGCGGCCTGAAATATCCGTTCAGGGCTCAGTTCTATTAAAAATATGCCGGCTTCGTATAACGAAACAAATGCTCTAACAGGGTCTCCGCGATATGTTACTTGCGGACCTGTTTCTTATTACATGACAATTCTAAGAGACGCAACATTGCAGACGATAGTAGCAGATGATAATAGCAACCGTTGACAATTTCCATTGTCAGACTTTCTGCCGAGGAACAAATATGTAAAATGGGGACTTATCGGACTTTCTGCCGACGAACAAATCGCGGCAAATCTAGGATCGGCTCAGAAAAATGAAACAAATGCTCTAACAGGGTCTCAGCGATATGTTACTTGCAGACCTGTTTCTGTGACTATGCCTCACCACTAAACGTATCCCCCGCGCCGCGAATAGGGGCTAAACTAGATGGCTGGGACTCACGAGCAGCAGCTACCGCATCTCCTGCAACTTCCTCCAATTACTTTGCTCGTGAGTCCCAGGCACCTAGTTTAGCTCCCGCGCGTTTAATCACGTTTTTGCGCACGCCGACAAGTCTGACATCTACCGCTGCTGCTAAATCCTCAATCGGAAGAACATTATTGCTAATATGCGTGGCAGCGCGTGGTCCACCCGCCATATCGCTTTCATCATCTGTAAAGTCTTGAAATTGTCAATGGTCGCTTTTATCGTCTGCAGAAACGCTCGACATTGTCACCGGTCGCTTTTATCGTCTGCTACTATCGTCTGCAATTACGTCTCTTGAAATTGTCAAGTAATCCTAGTTTAGCCGCGATTTGTTCCTTGGCAGAAAGTCCGCATTTTTCATTGGACTGAGCCACGAACGGATATTTAATATTTTAGGTCGCCATAATGCGGGGGTAGAAGTTCGGAGGAGAGCCCACTTTTTTTATATCATCCTGACTGCAGTGAGCATTCACTTGTGACTTGTGAACATGTCTTCACTTCAGTCACTAGTCACTCCTGTTTTCTCATTTACTGAAGAAGAATCGCGCAGGTCTAAGAAAATATACTTAGTCCGTTAATTTAATTACTTCTTACATTGTTTTTAAAATCACAATTAATTTAAAGAATTATGCAATAAAATTTAAATAATCAAATCACGGGGTATCACGCACCAAAATTCAAGTATGCTGCAAAAACGAGAACCAAAACAGCGTAGCAAATGATCCCTGCGTGACGGCGACCTGGTCCTAGTGCTAGACATTCCAAGGCACTGCTAATTGAAATTCCGCGCAAATAAGCCGAACCACAAGGCACTTGCATTATTTATTACGAATACTTGGTTGAAAGTGACACAGCTGCAGATTACAAAACACTAGTTAAATTATGACTTGAGGTCCCCAATGTTTATGACTGCGGGAACTGTCCGTCAGCTGTACGAACTACGAACTCATCGCGAGTTGAAAACTGTGCTTAGTTGCCTATCCGAAATTACGTATACTTCCTGTTCTTCGTCATTTTAGTACCCATTTTTATTCGCTTCTTTTTTTTTTTTTTCTGCAACCGTCCTCCCTTGAGGCCCTCCCCCTTTTCAGTCAACTTGATTTGATTGATTTGATTCAAGACATCACAGCACTTGGAGTATTTCCATAAGCGCCCCGTCCCCATCTTCGGCAGCCAGCGAAGAGTCCTGATACTAATGGTGCGTCCGTCTTGCCTTTCCTCTGAGCCTCGAGCATCTGCCAGAACCTCTCGTCACCCCCAACTGCATCAATCTCACCAGACTGTGGTGATCCATCTGCTCGTCCGAACTGTACACGCTCTCCCACAAGGCACTAACCACGTCTGCCTTATCATGCATCAGTATTTCACCAAGTTGTGCAGAGCCATCTAGTCTATCCGCCTGTTCATTTCCCAACACACCGGCGGTCCCCAGTGAAAAAATCCAGACAATACTCCCCACCGGTGTCCTTCGCAGCGAGGCATGCCACTCTGCACGAAGCAAGCCAGTCATGATCTTCATCAGCATGCTTTCTGAGTCAGTCAGTTACAATCAGTAAACTTGAAGTGTCTCACTCGCCATACCTCGTTTCAGTGATCCTTATCTCCTTAATTACGTCTACCCACATCATATCTTAGCTCCATTAACACTCTGGTGCAAATCCTCGGCCAAATGTAAAGCAACAGTTAATTAACTCTTGCTTGCGGCCCCGCCACCCCTCCCCCTCCCATACACACCTTTCCGGTCAAAATGGACGTTAGACAGCGGCGCTGTTTGAAATAGAGGCATTTTTTTTGCTTCTGCCGGACGGTGGCCGATGCATTTTTGCTCCATTTGTAGACTGGATATAGTTTCGTCGCCCAGCTTATGAGTTGAATGCATGGCGTGACCCTGTGAGCTGCGGATTGCATTTGGAATGTTTTTTCGACTGTGACCAACGTGTTGGTGTGAATTGTAGATTCAGAAAATGGCGCGATCCATGTCGTGCAGTGTTGTGGTGCACGTATGTGATTAAAATTGATCGCGTGGGCAACTGTCACATATCACTCCTGTCGCGTGCCTAATGTAAGGATTCCTCCTTCAGAACCAACAGCACTCAGAGATAATTATGTTGAGTCGTTTGGCTCGTATTGGTCTAAGGGATTCCCCGTGGCCAATATACGCTCAACTTATCTCTGGAGTAGGGCAACTCAAGTATTGGCACTACAAAATATATCAGTATATAAATACAATATTTCTAGGCACACTTGGCTGGACACCCCCACTACTTACTAAAGAAAGCCCCCAGGTTATGATAGTTCATTATCATAACCATGTTAACACATATAATGAAGATACATACAACTGCTAAACACTTAAGAAGGTGACATAGAGAAACCTAAGTCAGCCATGAAAATGAATGCATGTATTTAGTATAATATCTGTACATAAAAAATTGAAGTGAACTCCAGCTATCAGTGAAAGAATCTCAGCACTAATGTCTAGATCCCAAGGAAACTATACAGACAGCCGGTCCTGTAGGTGACTATATGTCATCATTGGAAACAAATGAGCTGTGAGGAAAACAACAGCACATGAAGCATCAGACTTAGCTTTTATCCTTTCTGTCTATGATGCCTCCTTCAGCTCCGGATGATTCGACTGTCTTTGATTCTGGAAATTCTGCTCCACTGGATCAAATAGTCAGAGAGTATCTCACCATAGAGGACACAATACTGCATTGGTACTTAGCAAGTCTCTATCACCAAGTAGACTATATATTGTTTTTGAGCTACCCTAAGCTCTAGCACTGGTAGGCTGTTTGAGGTACCATCTCCCACATGTTGGAGATGTCAGGAACCTTCACAGGTGTTAGCTGGTGGGTACAGTTAGTTTAGGGTTGTTTGGTTTGTTGATAGGTGTTGGTTGGACTGTGAAACTTCTGCCAGCTCCTCACAAAAGATACATCCTGTCAAGAAAATAACTCAACATTAGTCATCACCAAGAGGGTAACATCTTGACAGGAAAGACAGAACAAGCATCAGTCATCAACCCCCATCTGCTGACTCCCCCCTGCTCTCCTGTTTCATTCCTCAGATTGCCTCTCCCGACCAAGAGACATAAGTCTCCTATATTCATCTGTCTGTTTAGTGCAAGAGAAGGCAAGTCAGATATACAGTGGAGATAGATAAAGTGTTCTAACACATATATCACTCTCTCTCTCCCCTCCCTCTGCACACAGACACCAATATTTACTGTCAGTACCTGCATTCACTAGATTTCCCAACTCTCGCCCTAGCACTCATTGATCTGGGTCAAACACACACATACTTTGATTAACAAAGCCCTGACCCAGTTCTGTCCCCATTTGGTATGCACAACTTCTCTAGTTAGTTTAAAACGTACATACTTGTAAGGGTATTAAGTTTTACCAGCATGGGTGGTTTACTGAGGGCATAAGCTATTTAGTCTGTACAGGGGAAGATCTACGTTCGAATCCGCTTCTCTAGCGATCAAGACCGGTCGAACTAAGTGTGATCACACAGCCGATACTGATCTCTCTACAGCAGTGACTACTTTACAGACATCATTTTAGGTACTCGTAAACTATAATTAACTTACCCAAGCATATGTAAAAACTGAGACATTCCAGATTGCCTTGAAAAATGAAATGATACAGGCATAGATTGACACGTCTGGACGCTAGGAGCCGGCAAGAGAGAATAGCGTCACTTAGACACTTCAGGCGTTGGTGCAAAAAGAAGTCCCTATTATACATGAGCAAGGAGTAAATCGGTTTCCACGAAACCTCAAATAACTCCCAAATAACTCGAAGATATATACATTTAAAAGTGGAGTTTAGTTAAAGTAACCAGAAAAGGTAGACATAATAATGTTGTCCAATAAAGGCCTATATATATAGATATAAGGGACTATATATTTCTGGGCGAGTCCAAATTTGAATTTTGTGCAGATTACAGGTAAGACAGGTTATCAGCCTTACAGACCGATGCGTAATGGCTATCATTTCACGACAGCAACTGCGAATCTGTTGGCGACTTCTGCTACCATCAATGATGAACTGCAATTCTAAAACTGTGATAAACATTATGTGTGTTTTTCGTTGGCACAGGAGCGGGGCAAAGATGGGGTGACCCTTTTGCTATGAAGCTGAAACTAAGACTACCAGACCAGATACACACCAACACACATACGCGTCACCCAAACCCACACATCATGTGCGCAGACACAAAGGAACATTTGGAGCTCTCGGTAGAGGGGAGGGGAAGGGTTCTTGTCTATAGAGCGACCACATCGCGTGTGACTTGGGGACATCACATATTATAGGGAAGTTAGGGTTAGGAGTAGTCGCAATTCATTCATCATTAACCCTTACCCCCCCCCTTCCTAAAATATGGGATGTCCCTAAATCACGCGTGATGTGGTCACTAAACAGAAAAGAACCAGGAAATTCCATTTGTAAATTGAGAGGGATGTTGCCCTATTTAAATGCCTAAAAATCTATATTAATAAAACTACTGAACCGATTGCTTTTAAGTTTGCACACAACGTTGCCTCTGACTCAAAGCGTGAGTTTGTGTCATAAAATCACACAAACCACGAACGACGTAGCTACAGCAACAGTCAAATCATTATTCGTTTCGTTGCCCACCCGGATTTATTTTTAATCGATTGACCACCTTTGACTGTGTAACACAGAACTTCACATTATTATTATATACTTTTATTTCTACTGAATGCTTGAGTGATTAGCAGCGTAGTTGGTTGTAAGCATTTTGTTTTTTACTCGGGTGATAGGGGTTCGATTCCCCGCTGGGTGATATAATTATTTTTTTTGCGCCCCTAACTGGGTGGCTGCCAGGTTTTATAGTGGTTTATAGCTAGGCTGCAATATCTACGCTTTTTTCCCGTTTGATTTTGGAGTTTACAGCTAGCCTGCGATAGCGGCGACGTGATGCTCAATGTTCATGTTACGGTTAATATTCGTTCGACCTTGAGAGGGCGGTTGGCACGTTGTGTTGTGGTTTACAGCTAGGCTGCGATATCTGACCTAATCTGTCTTCAGTCTTCGGTAGTAGAGTTGTAAGTATTCCACCCTTCACGCGAATGACGAGTGTTCGATTCCCCGCTGGGTGCTAATTTTTCCTTTGCCCCTTAAGAGGCGATTGGCACGTTGTGTTGTGGTTTACAGCTAAGTTGCGACATCTGCGCCTTACGCCCAAAGACATCCGATTTCAGTACAGTCCCAATTAGCCTCCCCCCGACACTTCACTCGATCAAAAACTATTCGTTGATGACAGAACTAAGAAGGCTTATGGTCCAGTTTAGTTTGGATCGACACGGATGCCAAGGTTAGTTAAACATTGTCCCTTCGAAGAGGGAGATATGACGAGTGCGGGTTTTTATTTCCGCTATTTGTAAGTATAGTGTAATTTTAAAAAAAAATCACGGAATATTACTGTGGGTTCCACCACTCGTTAGGTGATGAAGTTTTATGTCGGGGACACACTTAAACTAAACAGTCCGCGGCGACAACATGCGACGCCAACTCCTCTGGCTACAACGACCTGTACAGACAGTAGTGACCGTTTTGTGTTGTTGTTGTGACGGTGGTGGTGGTAGTGGTAGCAGTAGTACTGGTACTCGATGGGTGATGTGGTAGCTGTTACACTGGCCACATTTACTTCTCAGTACAGATTAATGCTACCCATTTTTGTCTTGGTGAACACGGATACCGAGCTCAATTTAACAACAATATTTCGTCAGGCACTGACTTTCCCATACTTCGTAGAGGATTATATGATTGTCACGGGGGAGAAGA